CTATCAGTATTTATAGACGGTGTTACGAGGGGCATGAGAAGAATATTTGTCAAAGTTGTGAATTTTTAAAATTCTTTTCTCTCTTGAGCATTTGGTCATTCTCTACAAGATAGAAAAGAATCAGGCTGGCCAGCTTGGTCTGGATTCCTTCTTCACATTATCTGCTTAGCAAATAGGGTAGAATCTGCCGAATGTTTCTGCAGTGTCCAAACCAGCCAGTTCCTGACAGCACTGCTCATCGTGGCTGCCGCAGTCCCCTTCCCTAAGGGCCACGCTGAGCTGGAATGGAAGTCTCCCATCTGATTTAGCCCTACAGACATCAATCAAGTCTATAGGAGAAAGAAGAGTCACACATGTGGAAACCAGCCATCGAGGATTAAAAACAGAGGTATCTGGCAAGACTTTCAGATACAACAAGGAGCTTAAAATGAAGAATGATGAGCTCTCATACGCTTCCTCACACAATAAAAAGGAAGAATCTCTGAAAGGTTTTGAGTAATTGCCAAGCAGTCCCATCATCAGTTGCGGTCTGGCCAGGATAAGTCCTTCCCCTCTCTACTTCGGTTTCCTCATCTATATCGTTAGGAATCCTATGAATAATTCAGGTGCTTTAGAACACCGAATCCGATGTGTTGTATTCCTCTTGGCCAGCCTTGAGAAGAGAGGTTACTCTGAGACAGCAACAGCTGTCAGGAGACAGCATTTGTATCTAAAGCTCCCAAAATAAACACTTAAAACTTGTTTTCGAGCCCAAGTGAGGGAAATCATCCCTATAAAATGCTTGCATGGCTCCTCCCCCCTCACACTGGCAGCCTGGCTATTGCTGTCACCTCAGTCCCACGTGCCGCCCTCCCTGCTGCCACGCCCTTGGCACAAGGTCCCCCGGAAGCGCTCGACCACAGAGCTGCTGGGCAGTAAGGAGGCCAGAGGGAGGCGGCCAGGGCAGGGCAGGGGAGCGGGGCCTGCCTGGGGGCCTGCCTGGAGCACGGCTAAGTGCCCTTCTGGGCCCTTCCGTGTTGAAGTCCTGTGCCTGCAGAGGCCTGTGGCTCCTCCTTCCTCACCCCTCACACCCCCGTCCACCCAGGCTTTGTGCCTCACTCCTTGGGAACAGTGAGAGGTGGACACTGATGAGGTAAATATGCTAATGGGATAATGCTGCAGGCGGGGAGAATCTAGCAGGAGGAAGAAGAAAGAACAAATCTGAGAAGAAGTTACCTCAGCTCTTACTAGAAAGCAGGAAAGAATATAAAGAAATAACTCATTTATCTTCAAAGTGAGGGGTACATGTATCAAGTGTTTTCAATAACTGGTGATTCAACCACAGAAATTTAATGACAGGATTTATACAGAATTAAAAAAAAAAAAAACAACCCACACCATTTCAGGTTGTTTGTCCCCAGTTCCTTTGAACTATCTGTAAAATGCTTTAAAATCTACATATAGAAGTTGCTTTCAGAAATTGTATTTTTCCATAGGAAAAAGTCAGATGATGCCTACTGGTTTCTCTCTTCGACTAATTGTGTGCTTACTTTATTTTTGTTTCCTAGACACAAAGTGTTTTCCTTCTGTTGCCCTTAAAGTTATCCTTTATTTATTTTGCATCACCATTTAAGGTTTATATTTCCTGAACTGTCTAATAAAACATTTTACTGCTAATTCTAAGATGAAAACACTGAATGAATGTCCTCCAATCAATCTAACATATTCTATTTTTAGGAAATCGTTGAAAAAGAAATCAGGTTATTTAGAGGTAAACCGTCTATTTTCACTGATTCAGGATGTGAATCATGACTTATTTTATTGCCTACTGGGTAACAACTCCCTTTCCTTCTGAGAAATCTACCCAATAATCTCTTCTGGGAGCTTCTGGGTCCCAGGCCCCTAACTACTGTGAAATACTGAAATTATAGTGGGAATTCCATGTGGGAGCCAGATTAGAGCAAGAAATTGGAATGGAATCCCTAAGACAGATCCTATTTATGAACTATAATCATTTAGCCTCAGACTCAACAAAAGGGAGATATGAAAAGGTTGTCTCTAGGCACCTTCCTGACAGTGTATCTGTCCGGCTGTCCCTCAAAGCTCCTTTGTATCACCTTTTCAAATACCCTTGTTACAATCTGTTTGCCCTAAGTTGCTCTGACCAAAACAAAACAAAACAAAAAACAAAAAAAAAGCAAAAAAAAACCCAAACCCGAAAACCAAAAAAACACACAACATAACAAAACAACAACCTAAAACTAAATATATTCATATACTTTTCCCATGATAACCAGCTTCCGATTTAAAACACTGCCTTAGTATGAGAAAGAAAGAAATCTGGCCATGTGTAGCAACATGGATGGACCTTGAGAGTGTTATGAGGAGCAAAATAAGTCAGGCAGAGAAGGACAAATATCATATGTTTGCACGTATAGGAGGATTAGGAGGAACTTAATGGAGGACCGTGGGGGAGAAGAAGGGGGGAAACGGTGGGGGAAAGGGAGAGAGGCAAACCATGACAGACTCTTGAATGCTGGGAACAAACTGAGGACTGCTGGATGTGGGGGGGAGGGGGAAGATGGGCATGGAGGAGGGCACTTGTGGGGATGAGCACTGGGTGTTATATGGAAACCAATTTGACAATAAANCAAATATCATATGTTTGCACGTATAGGAGGATTAGGAGGAACTTAATGGAGGACCGTGGGGGAGAAGAAGGGGGGAAATAGTGGGGGAGGGGGAGAGAGGCAAACCATGAGAGACTCTTGAATGCTGAGAACAAACTGAGGACTGATGGGGGTGGGAAGAGATGGGCATGGAGGAGGGCACTTGTGGGGATGAGCACTGGGTGTTATATGGAAACCAACATGACAATAAACTGTTTGTAAAAAATATCAAAAAAGAAAAAAAAGAAAAAAAAAGAAATTTAAAAAATTAAAAATTTAAAAATTTAAAAAAATTAAAAATAAATAAAAATAAAAAATAAAAAAATCAACCTACAGGAAAGAATAGTCCTAAGGTGAATCTATTTGGAAAACCAAAATCCATGTGTGAAGGAAAGAATTTTAATATATTACTTTAGAACCATTTTAAGCATGACAATAGCTTGTTTTCTTTCTCGATCTATTTTTGTATAATTTTCTTTCCTTTTTGTCTCGAATGGTGTGACCATTTTAAGAACCAAACTACACATAACCATGGGAGAGCCTCTTTCTGTGTCTGTTGTGAATTTCTTCCCCAGCACTTTTTTAAGAAATATTTAGTGACGTGGTTATGTGAGGTGGTTAATATGGGCTTTGTAATCAGACAGAGTTAGACTCAGATTCTGGTTCCACAACTAACACACTTCAGGTAGGTATCCTCTCTAAGTCATTCTTTCTTCCTCTGTTTAACAGGGAAAGTAATACCTACCCTACGGGTCACTATAATCAGAAGGAGATAACGTATCTGAAGTGAACAGCACACAGTAATTACTCAATAAGTGGCAACTATTATTTTATGCATACGTACACATTGAAAAATCCGGAAAACAAAGAAAATATATCCTTAATTCTATCACCCTAGTAACCCAAACGTGTATTTCTCTGGAATTTATGTCGACATAAAAACTTATTTTTACATTATTATAACTGTAATATGTAATTTTGTATTTTTTTACATTACAATCATGTTTCCCTGCTACCATGTAAGATTCATAATTACCTTTTTAATTTGCCAGATGAAATTCCATTAAGTAAACTCCCATAATTTAACTACTAAAGTCCTGCCAGATATTTGAGGTTTTTTGATATTACCAATAATACTACAATAACATTAACAGGAATATGACTTTTTCATCCTGTGGAATTCTTTCCTTAGGATGGATTCCCAAAGCAGGCTTTTTAGAGTAACCACAAACTCTTTTATGACTTACATGAATTTTGCCAAACTGCTTTGCACAGGTTTATACAGTTTGTGGTGCTTCCACCAATGGGCATAAACATCATATCCTCTCCAACCTTCAGTATTAATATTAATATTTTATGTTTATTGAATAATTACCATGTGCCAAGTACTGGCCCAAGGACTTTGCATATATTATCTCATTGTGCTCACAACAGATCTCTGAAGTGCCTACTTTTAGGTACCTTCTTTTGCAGATGAGGAAGTTAAGGTTCAGAAAATTTAAAAGCCATGTCCAAGGTCATGCAGAAACTAAATGGTAGAAGTTGGACTCAAACACAGATCTGTCAAATGCCACAGTGCTCTTAACCATTTAGTTGTATTTCTGATTTACTCTTTTTCCCTCCCTACATAATAACTGAGAAAAGACATTTTCACTGATGTTTTAATATGCAGTTCTTTGAATACTAGCGAAGTTGATCATTTTTATATATGTTTAAGACTGTATTTTTTTGTTGTATTATTTGTTCATATTATTTAGCATCTTCTATAAAGTGGCGGGGCAACTTTACTCCCCATATAATCTTTACCCATTGGGTCTGTCAGCGTAAAATTAACACAAGAGGACCAGGCCCCTTCTTGATGATGTCATTAAGCTCTCAGTTTATAAGAGAAAGTACTTCTCTTTCCCCTCCTTCCTGCCCAATATGGGCTCAATACACATATATTCTAGAAAGTTATCATGCCCATATCCTTTCAACATTAATCATTCATACACTGTTCTCCCGCCTGGTTTGAAACACCCCTATCTTCACAGAGATAAGATCCAAGATCCAAAATGCCCTGAACAGTGACAAACTAAATTTTTTTCACTGAACCGATTTACCAAGGTCTTTGAGAATCTATCCATCTCTCACTCTTCTCATTCCCCACTCCCGCTTTCCGTCTTCAAATTTCTGCTGACTAATGTAAAGACCGAAGTGGGTAGGTTTTTGGGGAATTTATGATCCAAACAGCTTGGCCATCGTTCAGAACTTCTGTCCCATAATGCATGGAAACATCATGAAGACCGCAAAACCAGATTTCCATAACAAATCGAAATGTTAATTATCCTGTTTGCAAATATGCTCCGTTACCTGCATTGTGTCTTGCAATGTATCCCAGTGCCCACGCTGCGGCCTCCTTGACTCCGGGGTCAAAATCTTCCAGGCATATCACCAGTGTATCCAGGGCTCCACAATCCACGATCGCCTGAGCCAGCTGAGGGGAGTGCTTACCCACTGCTCGTAACACAAAGGCCGCTGCTTTCTTGTAAAACCGCTACAATGATGGAACAGATAAAGCTCAAAGTGAATGAAGCGCTCATCAAACCAAAAGTTAAAACAGACCAAAGCCAACAGAGAAATGACATTAAATAAAGCTCACCAGCTCTTAAAGACAACAGATGGAAAACACCCTGCAAAGTCAAGTTTCGGCGTCCCCCTATGGCTTTTTGTTCAGTGCTAAACTGAAACAGCGTTCAGTCATCAATTGCGTTTCAAATGTTTTCTTCTGAAGCGTGCGTTTGGAAATTATATAAAAGAAAACGTAAATGTTGTATTTCCTACAAATGCCTAAAATCACGAGATTTTCTGTATCTGCATTACACTGAAAAGTACTTGTTTGACCCAGGGGAACTCTGAGATTGTTAGCATGTGCAACGAAACCATCCCCTGACAAATTCATTTCCTCTGCTTGCCCTCAGTCTGTAAGCAAGGTAGGCCTTTCATGACCTCTGCTAATCTTTCTGGTGTCCCAAGTTATCCTGAAATAACAACCGCATTCCGAGATGCACGTACCAAACATCGGATAAACATGAAGGTGAAACATGCATGATACATTTTTAAAACTTTCCCTGGTAAATAAACTAGCCAAACAAGAGGATATGTGACTTATCTCCTCTGAGGAAAAAAAAAGAATGTAATGATAAATACAAATGACTTAGTATTATGTGAATTTTAAGTTATGCTTCATATTTGTAAGACTTTCTACATAAAATTTTACCAGGTTAAGAAATAATAAAGTAAAACTGAAACACAAGGCTGACATGTTTTTCTTCACATAGCATAAAAAATGAAATGTATGGGAAGTATTTGGCTATAACACTCACTGTTGTTTCATGGTTAGCATAACGACACATTGACGGTCTCTTTCTTTTATTAATAGAACCCAGGTAATCCCCTATTTTAGATTCCAAGTTTCTATTTCCTTACGGTGACTACTGAAAGTGACTAGGTGACTACAGCACCTGTTTTGAAAGCATGCTATTTACTTAGGCTAAAAGATGAAGATAAAACAAAAAATTATAGGAGAGAAAATATATCAAGTATATTTTAACATATTATATTTCAAAAATTGGCCTATGTTGATGATATAATATGCTATGTTATATGTTTGCATGTATAGGTGGATCAAGAGAAACTTAACAGAGGACTGTGGGGGGGGGAGGGGAAAAATAGTGGGGGAGAGGGAGGGAGACAAACCATGAGAGCCTCTTGAGTGCCGAGAACAAACTGAGAACTGATGGGGGTGGGCGAGAAGGGAAGGGGGGTGATGGGCATGGGGGAGGGCACTTGTGGGGATGAGCACTGGGTGTTGTATGGAAACCAACTTGACAATAAACTATTTAAGAAAAAAAAAGAGGGGCGCCTGGGTGGCTTAGTCGGTTAAGCGTCCGACTTTTGCTTAGGTCATGATCTCGCGGTTCGTGGGTTCGAGCCCCGCGTCGGGCTCTGTGCTGACTGCCAGCTCAGAGCCTGGAGCCCGTTTCAGTCTGTGACTCCCTCTCTCTCTGACCCTCCCCTGCTCACGTTGTCTCTCTCTCTCTCTCCTAGAAATAAATAAAACATTTAAAAAATTAAAAAAAAAAAGAAAAAAAAGAAATATGCTGTGTTAATGATGTTTTGATTTTATATATTTCTTTAGTTTCTTAAATATTAACATATATAGATATTAAAATATGTTATAAAGTCCAACTTTATGTCAGTAACTGATCACAAAGCTTAGAATAGAGTTTCAAAGTAGCTATTTACTTATAATTGTGAAAAATAAGGGTGATACATTTCCTGTCATCGGCTTAAGCTAATGTGATGTTTTATATGGTGGAATTTTCAGATTCGCAATTTGCAGGGAGCATTGATAGTCACTGCTAACGACAGTGCCTATAATTCACACCTTCTGATCTCATTTCCCCCTTTCTCCTAATTTCCGCCTCTCGAAATTCCTCTCTCTTCTCTCCCATTCCTCACCAAAAGAATTGCCTTAAAAAAAAGAGAGAGAGAAAAAAAGAAAGAAAAGAAAAAGCCACACCAGAGGACTTTGTACCTCATAAAGAAGAGATTAAATCCTGTGAGAAATGAGCTGAAGGGCTGTTGGGTGAAGTGAATACTGCTTCACATTCTCACTTTCTCCTCACTTCTGCCCTGGCACTTTTTTTGTCTCTTAACAGCCAGCGCACACTCATCCACATCTAGAACACTTCTACTGAGGACCTTCTTTGTGGGAGTCCGAACCACACACCCTGCCCTAAGAAGGAGCTAAGAGTCCAGGAAGAACAAAGTCTAACTAACAGTGTTTGATGACAGAAGGAACACCTGCAAGAAAAATAAAATTTCTGAGGCTCCTTGTAGAGATAAGACAGGCAGGAAATGACTCTCCAATCTCTGAAAATCACGCAAAACTTTGAAGAATTGGGATTTATTTTTTGCTGTGGTAAGATACACATAATATTTACCATTTGAACCATTTTAAAGTGTCCAACTCAGTGGCATTTAGCACAGTCACAGTGTTGTGCAAACGTCACCGTCTAGTTCCAGAATGTTTTCCTCAGCGCAACAGGAAAGCTCATACGTGTTAGGGAGCCACTCCTCATTCCCCCCTCCCCCCAGCCCCCTGGCAACCTGCTAATCTGCTTCTGTCTCTATGGATTTGCATATTCTGGATACTTCCTATAAATGGAGTCATGCACTATGTAGCTTTTGTCTGGCTTCCGTCTCTTACAGTGGTGTTTTTCAAAGTTTATCCATGTTGTAGCCTGTATCAGTATCTCATCCCTTTTTATGACTGATAATATTCCATTATGTGGATGTACAACATTTTGTTTATCCATTCTTTTGTTCTAGTGAACAATGCTGCTATAAACATTTTTGTACAAGTTGTGTTTGAACACCTGTTTTCAATTTTTTTGGAACCCTAACTAGGAGTAGAATCGCTGGGTCATGTGGTAATTAGGTTTAACTGGACTGCCAGCCTGTTCTCTACAGCAGCTGCACCGGTTTATACTCCTATCAGGAAGTGCGAGGGTTCCACTTTCTCCAAATCTTCACTAACGCTTGTTCTTTTCTCTTGTTTTTTATTATGGCCATCCTCATAGGTAAAGTGATCTCTTGCCGTGGTTCTGATTTGCATTTCCTAATGACTCAAGCCATTGAGCATCCTTTCACGTTGGTTGGCTACGCGTATATCTTCTTTGGATAGATGTCTGTTAAAGTCTTTTGCCCATCTTCAAATTGGATAGTTTGTCTTCTGGTTACACAAAAAGGAATTTAATTTTAAAAATGTGTCAAGGAATACATATCCTGGGGCAACTGGGTGGCTCAGTCCATTAAGTGTCTGACTCTGGATTTTGGCTCAGGTCATGATCTCACAATTCATGAGTTCGAGCCCTGCATTGGGCTCTACACTGACAGCACGGAGCCTGCTTGGGATTCTTTCTTCTCTCTCTCTCTCTCTCTCTCTCTCTCTCCCCCTCTCTCTCCCTCTCTCTCTCCCCCCATGTTCTTTCTCTCTCTCTCTCTCAAAATAAACAAACTTAAAAAAAAAAAGTATATATCCTTAGGTTATATTAAACCAACAAAATGGAATAAATAGACCAAGGCCCTACCTATAGAATGGTCCTTAACCATTATTAGGTGGCAGTGTACAGAAACAGAGTACAGAACATAGGAGAGAAAAAAATTGTGGCACTCGTAGATGACCCTGAAATGACTGTCATGCTTACACACTTGTATAAAATGCCTTCTCAAACCTTCCATGACACATATTCCCCTTCCTTTTGTATGCTTCCCTCCCCTCTTGCTTCCAAGCTGTCTCTTACAGTGTCCACTCACCAGATTTGACCTGCATGTACAGATTGCTGAAAACAATGCTTTATTTGCCTAGGGATCCAGGCACCTCTCTAAGACTGATCCTACAAATTTAAGACTCCCATACGCAGAAATATTGCCTTATATATAATTCATTAAAAACTGTGTAATCGGGGGCGCCTGGGTGGCTTAGTCGGTTAACCCTCTGACTTCAGCTCAGGGCATGATCTCACGTTCATAGGTTCGAACTGACAGCTCAGAGCCTGGAGCCTGATTCAGATTCTGTATCTCCCTGTCTCTCTGCCCCTCCCCCTCTCATGCTCTGTCTCTCTCTGTCTCAAAAATAAATAAAACATTAAAAAATATTTTTAGGGGTGCCTGGGTGGCTCAGTCGGTTAAGCGTCCGACTTCGGCTCAGGTCATGATCTCATGGTTCATGGGTTCAAGCCCTGCATCGGGCTCGGTGCTGACAGCTAGCTCAGAGCCTGGAGCCTGTTTCGGATTCTGTGTCTCCCTCTCTCTCTGACCCTCCACTGATCACGCTGTCTCTCTCTCTCAGAGAGAGAGATAAATAAAATAAATAATAAAATAGAAATAAAATAAAAAATAAAATAAAAAATAAAATAAAAAATAAAAACTGTGTAATCTGTTTTCTTATGTTAACAGTAATGGGGAAAAAGCTGCCTTTCACTTCCAAAGTAAAATACCCTAAAGATACTATTTATGTGCAGTTCAAAGAGATAAAGGCTGTATGAACATCCTAAAATTCTAACGCCTACAGTTTGCCACTCTACCCAAACTAGTAGATTTTTTTAATCTAAAAAATACACATATAACTTATTTTTTTTTTTAGGTCTTACATTCTGTTCTGCCAACGAATAAACAAGCTGTGGAAGAATGTCGCCCTTCACAACTGCTTCTGCTAGGTCATAATTATAATTAGCCAGTCTCCCAAGAGCCAGCGCAGCCGTCTGTTGAATTGTTGGGACCACGTCCAGAAGAAGAGGCCTCAGCAAAGACATCACACCTGAGTTAAGTTGTGAAAGAACAGAGGTCAGCAAAACTGAAATGAAAAAGCAAATACACGATTCAGCATTTGTGCAGGTAAGAAAATGATGGGGGGAAAGAATCTGTAAAAACACGCAAAAATTTTTTCACTAAAAAATGAATGGGATATTCAGAGGCCTCTAACTGGCCAAGACAGAGAATAATACAACCTGTAATTACCAAAGGGGCAGCACAGCATGAAAGCAAGAAAGGCTTCGGAGTTAAGGGAAGAGTTTGAATCCCTGATCTGGCGAATAGTATCCACGTGACATGGTAAGGCTGTTGTGAGACATGTGGAGAGACTGTGGAGCATGGAGTCTGATGCCCACCTAGCCCATGGCGGGGAACGGAGAGGGGCGGGGGAAGGGCAGGAGGTGTCCCCCAGCCACTGTAAATTCTATCTTTCAGGGCTCAGTTCAGGCCCTGTCATTTCTATGGAGTTTTCCTTTTTTTTTTTTTTATCTCCCCTGATTCCAACTGTTGGGTCTTTTCTGTGATTTCAACTCAAGAGTGTATTTCAGAAATTTTATCAGGATCTATCTCAGAGCCAGGGGAGCTAGGAGGGCTATTTGGTGGGGGCCTCATACTATGAAAGGATGCAAATTCAGATTTCTGATATTACTCCAAAGAGACAAATTCCTTGAAAAAAAGGAAGTCCTTTGTATTACAGTAGGTATGTCATCATCACAGCAATAATAGTAAAAGTTAGCTTATACTCATCCAGCACTTATCATATGTACACACTGTTTTCAGGACTGTTTTCCATTCACTGGACTGTCATAAAAAGACTATGAAGTCGGCCCTATTAGTATGTCTATTTTACAGATGAGCAAATGGAGGCTGGGAAAGGCTAAGAAATCATCACACATCTAATGAATGGTGGAGCAAGCTTAGAAATTCAGGCATTCTTCATTGATAACTGCTGGATAAATGTCCTCTGCAAGTTGAGGAGGTGGAGAAAGACACATAAAACATAATTGCATTTTGGTCATTTGATTGGCTATTCCAACTCTTTACATTAGCTTTGCCTTACTGTGAAATACCCCAAATAGCTAACTGCTATTTGGGCTCTAATGATGTTGTGTTTGTCTAAGGTTACAAGGAAGGTGATGACAGAGTTCAAACTGGAATAAAATGCCCCTGACTTCGTAAACTTTACTTAATTTGCAGCAGGCGATTCAACTTGAGGGTGTTACATCTTTTGTTTAAAAACATACCACCACAGTGATCTAGAAAAGCAAATATTATCAAGATTCTTTTATGTTATATCCAGAAACACGTGAGATAGAATAAAAGGAAAGCATTCCCAACAACACCTAGGGTTAGGCCAAATTAAGATAAATAGCTACCTAATAGCATAAGGAGAGAATGACGACGCTCATCACGGATACATGTAACAATGTAATCCATGGCTTTTCACCCTTTCCAGTTTCATTTAGTGATAATTTTTACGGCTAGGGTGGCTTGGTGAGATTGTCCTAGACGAGCCCACAGTTGCAAGTTTGAGTCCTACTCGGGCTGGTTAGCCTTGCAGGCACACAGCACGTCTGCTCATGCCTGGGTCATAGCTCATGGTCACCAAATCAACGTGTCTATGCTCGTAAGTGTTGCTAATACTACTATCTATACTTTCTACAGAGATAATCTCTGAACTCTCTCACAACGAAAAGTTTAATGTGCAAGAGAAGTATTAGAGTGACTACCAAATGTTAACATGGGCTCTTTCTAGAAAGTTGGATTTAAAACAGTTTGCTGATCTCTTCTTTGTAGTTCCTTTACTGCCTGATTTCTTTTCTTTAGTTTTTTAATTGTGGTAAAATATATGTACAATAAAAATGATCACATTAACCATTCCGTAGGGCACAGTTTAGTGTAATCATCGCCACTGACTAGGGACTCCCAGGCTGTTCTCCACAGAAGCTGCACCACTGTACATTCCCACCAGCAAAGCACAAGGATTCAAATTTCTCCACATCCTTACCTATACTGGTTATTTCTTATTGTTTGATTTTAAATAAGAGCCATCCTAATAGGTATGAAGTGTTGCTTCACTGTGGTTTTGATTTCCGTTTCCCTAGCACTGATGATGGCGAATGTCTTTTTTTGTACTTACGTGTCATTTGTACATGTTCTTTGTCAATATGTCTATTCAAGTCATGTGCCCATTTTTAAATTGGGCTGGTTGGAGTTGTTGAATATAACTTGACTTTTTAATAACAAATATGCATGATTTTCAGTAAATACACTGAAATACTCTATAAAAACAAGAGCTAAATTTGTTAACATATATTTGAGTTTCATAATAAATACATTAACAGTACCAAAAAAGATAAAGTGTAAGTATGCTTAGAATAGTTTTAAAAGAATCACAGTGATGTTTCATGTTATTTTTTTCCTGATGGTTCTGGTATTTCCTTTTTTCCTCCTCATTGGATATATATATATATATATATATATATATATATATATATATGTGAAGGCAGGGGCTTATTGTCTTTTGAAATATAATTGGAAAATCAAAAATAAATAAATAAGTAAGAAATATAATTGGAAAATTAATCTATACTGAGTTATTCATCCTAGATATTTTGAATTAAATCTAGAGAACTTTGAACTCTTATGTTAAAAAATTAAAGAATGAATTCACCTATCTGGGCCTATAATATTGAACTTAGTTGTGTTTATTATTAATTACAGTATTGAGCTACTGTACAGTAAGTCTCCCAATTTTGGAAATTTTCAGTTTGTAGTTGTAGCAGTAAAATATTTTATCCCCATACAGGTATGTCACCTGTCCATATATTCAAAGGAATTTTTGGCTTTGTGTATTTTCTCCTCCATCCTTATGCCACATCTGACCCAGGAAAAATAAGATCAATACAAATGACACGCCATTTCTTTCCTTCTATCCCTGTATTTAATATCAAAGTTAGGCTTCTATGCGGATGCCTCTGCTCTATCATTCTTTTCCTCTGTTCCTTGGCTCAGACAGTAGCACAATGGGACTTTTGAAAATGTTTAAATTTATACACCTATAAAAGTTTGAATATCTTTGTTTGAATAAGGTCATTTTTATTAGAGAAAATATTGCCCCAAACTTCTAGTCCTTGAATTGGCTCTTAGTGCTTCATAATCATCAGTCCCCAGGGCCATGTTTTTATCCCTTACGCAGATTGAGCATGAAGACTTTGTTATTCTAATTACAAGTCTGTCCTAAAAACACAAATAGTCATGCAAGAGGAACTAAGGAAGGTAATAAGGGAGGGAGAAAGGAGAAAAGAAGCAGATATAACACGAAAAGAAATTTTTCCTTACCTTCCTTTCCCTTAGGAATCCATGGTGATTGATCCTTGGTGAATGAAAGCATGAAAATTTAGAATCCATAAATTACAGCAGTTTGGAGAGTTGCCACATTATCTGATAAGCAAGGTCTCTCGTGACAGCTAATGACCTCGCTGAGGCCTGTACTGAGGACCCAGCAGGTATGATCTAATATTAAAAATAATTCACGTATTGTACCCGAATATCTATAAAACAATTCTGTCTCCTCTATAAAAACTGATTAAACGGTGTGAAGTGTTGCTAAAACGTATAGGAGAAATCTTTACACTCTTTCCCTTCCCAACTTTATCGCTTTTAGTTTCTTTTCTATTTTTCTTCCGAGTGCCACACTGAAGACATTGCTTCTAATCCCTACGGTGCAATTCCAGGTAGGCGAAAACAACAACAAAAACAACTTTGTTGATCGTTCGAAACATGGACCAGGGTTTACCAGCCGGCAAGCACTGGGATCATACATATGAGCAAGGAACACTCCTCCTCTCAAGGAAGTATTAATCTAGGTGAGCACATGGTAAACTAGCCTCAAAGTAATCACAGCTCTTTTTTTTTTTTATTCCTTTTAACACAACACAGGCCTAATTACTTTGATTTTGCACACCAATTACACATGTAAACCAGGAAGGAAATGTCAGACCAAAAAGAATGCCATTCTCATATTAAATGTATATAATTGATATATGTATCTGCTGTGCCTTATAAAGATATTTCACATCTCAGCTTTGTTCCTTTAAAAACAAGCACCTGTAAAACGGGCCTTTGGGTCCATTGTTAAGCCCTAGTGAAGATTTCTGCTCACCCTAGTTACCTCTCACCTTCTTTGTTCTGCTTTGCAATTTTTTTAATTTTTATTTTTTTATTGTGAGAAGATATACATAAAAAACTGATTTCAACCATTCTTAGGTGTACAATTAAGGGTGGATTAAGTACAACTGCACAACCACATCAGTATTATTTCCAGAACATTTTATCATCCCCTAGCGAACACTCTATATAACTTCCCCTTTCCCCCTACCCCTAGGTTCCTGGTAACCTCTATGCTATTTTCTGTCTCTGATTTGGCCTATTTTAGGTAGCTCATATAAGTGGAACCCTACAATATTTGTCCTTTTTTGGTCTGGCTTTTTTCACATAGCATAATGCTTTCAAGTTTCTCCATGTTGTCCCATGTTTCAGAATTTCTTTCCTTTTTAAGACTGAGTAATGGTCCATTGGATGTATATACCTCATTTTGTTTATCTGTTCATCTGATGACAGACACTTGGGTTGCTTCCACCTTTTGGTTTTTGTGAACAATGCTCCCATGAACATTGATGTACAGGTTTCCATTTGACTCCGCTCTCAATTCTTTTACATATGTTTGTGTGTATATATGCACGTGTGTGTGTACATATACACATATAAGTATATGTGTATATTTCTGTACATCTACAAATATATATACATATATACGTACAATTGCTGGACCAAGTGGCAACTCTATGTTTCACTTTTTGAGGGACTACCAACTGTTTTCCATGGTGACTTTCCATGCACCATTTTATATTCCTACCAGCAAAGAGTTCCAGTTTTCCACATTCTCACGAACACTTGATATTTGTTACTGTTGTTGTTTATAATAACCATCCTAATGGACATGAA